TTTCTTCAAAATGAAGAAAAAAAGTAAAATTAAAACAATTTTCTTGCCACTATTTCTTCTTTATTAACTCCAATACTTTTTATCCTATTCCTTAATGGTATCTTTCATCATTTAATGCATCTTTCCTTTTTTTTAGATACGATCATAAAGCACATTCTGTTGTAAATTTGATATAGAATTGTATAATTCGGATAAGTTTACAGAATAGAGGCATAATTTCATCCAAAATAAAAGGAATATTATAATTTCTTTAGAAACCTGTTCAATATAAATTTTATAACAGTCTTAGAGTTTTAATGCTCTCAAGGATTGTAGGCGTCAAATAATCATTTTTGAAATGAGAGGAGACTAAAATATTTTTTTGATCACATTTGGAAAGATAAGAATTTCTTTCTTATAAGAATTGATTCTGGTAGGTACTATAATGTTAATTTTCTTATCGTCATTTTAACATTTTTCAAACCTTTAAAGGTACTTGCATTCTGCCAATGTTTAATTATCTCCAATCTTAGCATTTCTCTACTTAATTGGTCAATAATGTTAAAATACTTATGGATAGTTATTGAACAGCTTTTATTATCAAACTACCTGTTTCCTATGAATTGCTTCTGAATTTTGCGCCTTAATTAATCAAATTAAAATTTAAGTACATATCTAATTAATAAATTGAGTTATTCTATAAATTAGAATGAAAAATATAAGATTAAATATTCATACTATTTACAATCGAATAATACTATCCTATATAAAATTATTCTTTGAAAAATTTTTAAGCAATTTTTCAAATGATAAATAAGACTAAGACTAAATATTTAAAAATTTCTCTACTTTATTAGCTTGATATTAATCAAATGGCAGTGTATTAGATTAAACTATAGATATTCATACCAAAATTTTTGTTACAGTCCCCATACCAATTATAGGATAAAAGTGGATAAGTTTTTATTCAAAAATTACAAATAATCCTAAAATTAAAATGTTTCTAAATTCTCCAATTTGGTTTTTATCTTACGTCAATGTGATTAAGAATTTTATATTATCTCTGGTTAAGATCATATAGATTCCAATTTAAGAAATTTAAGGTTCTTTTCCTTGATAACTCACCCATCAAAATCGTCCAACGCTTTAGTGTAAGAGCATTGGCCTAGATCGATTTCGATTCGATTGGTCAATTTTTTCTCTAAAGAGATTCAATTCCAGCATTAGCTTTTGTAGGAAACAATT